TTGGCCAGACCATGATATTATAATTACATATTTGCATCAAAATAACTTCTGAAGTTTGATGTAGTTAGTTAAAATAACATTCAGAGTTCTTTAAAATAGATCTAAATGTTATTTCACACTCATATTAATGTGTATTTGTTGATTTGTTGAAATTCAAAACGGCACTCTAGAGCCCAACAGATCTCGTTTCCTAGTTTAGTTAGTGGTTTAAAAAATATATGTTTTTTGATAGTCACGATATATTTCTATTAAAGTAACATTTAAAATAAAAGTTTGAATTATTTTATCAAATATTATAAATCTTAGTATTGGATATCGGACAATGTCCATATGGGGACTTCTATAGCAAAAGGTGGCTATGGGACAATTAATAAGTACATATGTGTCAGACTTTTTAGTGCAATTTACCATATTTTACGGTCCAAACCACTCCATTATAAAATAATTATCGGGCACGCGAATATTTAAATAGTGCATATAATAGTTTGTAACAATACATAATGATATTACAGTATTATTACAAAATAAAAAAAAAATAAAAATTGGTTTGTGAACTTGACAGGGGGTAACATCCCTAGATTTCAATGATGTTATTCATGTGATTGAAGCTTAAATTGCTTTAAAATTTTCATATATATAAATCAGCTTTTTTTTTTTTTAAAAAAAAAAAAAAAAAAAGGTATGAAATGCATCAATTCTTGGTCTTATCATAAACAATTCTTTTGTATTTGAAGATTGTCTAGTTGCCTTGAGTAGGACTCAGCTCTAGAATAAAACTCTATAGGGTTTTACTCTAACGGCTCGGTAACTGGGTTTGGATTTTTTTTTTTTCACTAACTTCACCGCTGTGGAAAAATATTTTTTTTTTCTTAAATTTATTGTTGTGAACATGAATTTCCTGAACTCTAATTTATATCAAGCATGCCCCAATTACTTTGAGCAGAACACATCTCTAGGGTAAAACCTTAACGGCTCAGTAATTGGGTTTGGACAGTTTTTTTTTTTTTTTTAATTTATCTTAAACATTCTTTTTTCCTTGGGTTTATTTTTTTTTTTAAACAAAAAATTTATTTTTAAATGTATGTATTTTGTGCAAAGTTCTCTCTATATCGGCTATATGTTTTGGAAACTTCGAATAGTTAAAGGTTCTGCAGGAGGATATAAGAGATCTCGTAAAGGCTTATATAAAGTGGTACTAAAAACTTTATCTAATTCAGAATGTTCATCCGATTTTTTAAAAGAGTTTAATAGTTATATTAAATGTAAAAGTGAACTTGAAGTTTACTGGATAACACAAGATAATAAAAAACAATATTTGATAGTATTTCAATATGCAAATAAGGAAGATCTTTATAAATCATTAAAAGAAAGCCCTGGAGAATTGGATTTCGATACTTCCAGCTCATATAACATAATATGATTGTCATTATCTTAGTAAACTTCATGCAATGCTGTAGTACACTTTCAATTAGAAATTCTAAAAAGCACACAAGAAATTTGACTTTCGCAGTGGTAGTATCTTACTGGAGCATGAATTTTTTGTGGATCATTAGAAAGTGCAATTATTATAGAATCGTAATATCATTAGTACTAAAGTGTAATATATTATCAATTCGTAGTATAATTATTATTCACATTTAGTGTTAGAAAATTTTTCTTAGAATTTCTCCTTAAAATTTCTTAATCATATATTTTGAAAATCATCAAATACAAAAATATTTCAAGCATGTTCAAAACATTTAAATATTTCAAAGCATATTCAAAAATCTTAAAATATTTCAAGCATATTTAAACATTTGTCTTTTAATTCTTTTTTTTTGGACCTTAATGGAACAATCAAAGAATGGTCTCAGAAATTATGGTTACCCACCATGAACAACCCTGCAGATTTGCATTTGACCTCATTAAATATATGTTCTTGTTATACTCTACAAAATTCATGGTTCTCTTTAACGAATTAAGTTCTGATGAATATGAATTATCACAAGATAACTTTGTAATCAGCACTTTATATAGCACCTGAAATTTTAATGAATCAATAGTATACTCAAGCATCAGACATTTATAGTATTATTGTAACAGAGATTTCATCCGGCCAAATAGTATTTGATGAAATTCTGTTTAATGATAATCTGGTATCAAAAATTATCGGTGGATCAAGACCTAAATGTTTAGAGCTTAATTGTTATATTAAATTATTTATAAAATGCATTTTCACCTGTCGAATATGAAGAACATTTAAATAACAAAAAAAAACGATAAAAGCATGAAGCAAAAAAAAAAAAGAAAAATTAGAAAATAATGTGAATTGAATGTTATCAATCAAAACGTATCTGAATCATTTTCAGAAAAAGATCTTGAAAAGATGACTTGGGTTGATGAGATACGCTTATAATACTGTTGTTAGATGGGACAAAAATTGTTGTTTTTTTAACAGTTCTAAACATTTTGAATGGCTAAAGCCACAAAATCTTAATGATAAACTTAAACTATTCATAGATGTAAAAGAAGGAAAAGATCTTAGTAAAAAAAATAAAAAATTACAGAGATCAAGTGTATGGGGAGAATGTAAATTTCTACGAACAATTGTATAGTTAGAAATACATCTTAAAGGTACGCATGATAAAGTATCTGCAAATATAATTGATGAAAGTATTAACGAAGCATTGACAGCTCGAAAAATTTAATACAAAAAAATTCAAAAAAAAACCAAAAAATCAACATTATCTTTTAAATTAAAGATATTTTCACTGCCGAGGAATCAGATTGGGGATTTACTTGTATAATCCATTTAATAATCACGCTCGAACGATGGTTATCCAACTGAAACCCTACATATTATAAAGTATTTTATTATATTTTGATTATACTACATTATGAATAATTGTGTGACAATATTATGTAAATTTAATAATGAATTTATATGATTCATAGTTATTTAAACTTTTAATTCAGTTTTTCATCATTAGATTGTAACTCTAGCTGCTATCAAGGGCTTGATCCCGCAAATTTGGACTATCCACTATCTGAAGTTCTGCGGTTTAAGGCTTTAAAAACCAAAACGAATAGGACTTTCAAAGCTAAGATTGCTAGCAAATTTGAAGTTTCAGTTAAATAAATGAGATTCAGAGTTTTCTGTAACCGAGAAAATGATACTGTTAGGCCAGAAGATCTAATAACAGATAATTGTCTTGGCATGAGTAAGTTATATATAAAGCACGATTCTTTTTTTTTTTTGTAAAAACTTCTATCAATAATCTTTTTTTTTTGATAATTTTTTTTGATATATAGCAATAAAAAAAAATCACACAAAAATGGCCACATGTCAAAATGAACTGCATTTGTTTCTAGAAGGAGCAGATAAACTATTTGATGACAAAGTAGTGCATAATATTTATAAATTTATTATATATCTGTTTAGACATGTATTGTCTCGTTATTTCAATTGTTATTTTATAGGGTGGGGAGTATTATGCCATACTGAAGCTTTGTTAATATAGAAAAAAATTATTTATTTAAAAAATTTGCTAAAATATTTATCATTTCTTTATGTGAAATAAATTAGTTATACAAATAAGGGAATTGCATATGGCCCAAGAGGTGTAGTAGATCTAATTTTTGTGTCGATGTTAAATTTTTAATATGCCAAATTATTAGTGCAGATGCTAAATTTTTAACATCGACGCTAAGGAAAATTAAACTGTATAAAAACCTAAAAAAATTAATAAAGAAGGACAAGTTCCACGTCCATTTTAAAAGTAACAAAATAACGAAATAATACTTTTATCTTTTGAATTTCGACTGTAAATTTAATAAACCTATTTTGAGACTCAATTCAATAGATTAAATTGACTTGTAACTTCAATCGGCTTATTAGACTCGAAATTCTGTGTAACTGCAGTCATACATCTTTGGAACTTTGTTATATGATTCCGTCTGAAAGAATTTTCGATCTAGAAAAGGTTTAATTTAATGCGAGAAAAATTAAAAACTCCTACCACCTTTGGAATTATCCGCATCTGCTTGATTAATATCAGCTTTGGTTTACAGCCGATGCTAAAATCCATCTATCATCTTATTCATTAAATTCTTATATTCTTGCAGAATCATTTTGATTTATCAATCTTCATTGACGTTCGTGAGTTTTATTTATTACTCATCCTGCATATTTATACCTCCATTCCCATACACAGCTAAAGTTGTTGTTAGCTCTCATATTCAATTGTTATACTATAAGCAGGGTTGGCACATTTATCCATTGAGACGAATGGAGAACAACTCCATTGAGAATAATTTCTAAATGGAGACAATGGAAGCCAACCAACTCTATTGACATTGATCTGTTTAACCTGTTTATTAGCTATTGGTATATGAGGCTAAGATTAGAACCTTATTCTTTATTGGCTTTATGGAATAATTTTATTGAAGCCATTCTCCACTGGGCTCTCCACTAGCTCTATTAAGTTTTACATTAGTATCATTGACTACATTCACTTTATTGGTTCTATTGGGTTCTATTCACTCTATTGGTTCCCTTGGTAATTTTCCCAATAGAGTATATTCATTGCCAACCTTGACTGTTAATTTAAAAATATCAGTTTTTAAAAAAAAAATGACACTCATTTCTAAGGGAGCTTCCAGATATTATATCTAATATCTGTAAGCAACCTAAAGATTAAACCATTTTATTGGTCACTGGAATAATTATATCCAATAATAATGACAAATAAATTGTTGTATTATCCAATTCTGGAGATTTGAATATTTGAATCCATGCCTATTTGACAATCAGCAAGCAAGGTTTATGTGTAACTATGACCATTGTTTTTGCATGCATCTTATACATAGTCATTTCTAAGCAGCTGGCTAATTCATATTTTGGATTAATTATGTCAGATATGTCAGTCTTGAGAATCTCTGACAATTTTAACTAGCTACTGACATATTGCAACAGGCTTGCCACGACCATCTTGCTGACTTAAAATTAATTGTTTGAAACGTAGCAAAGGACTCAACTGTTTGATCAAACTTAAATGCAAGTTTATGCAATGTTTGTTAGAAAACACTAGAATTAAAGGTTCCTTCTGGGTTTTAGACACCATAGTAATATGCTGGCCATTTATTGCGCCGATAACAATTGTTTGAAGTGTCGTTTTTGATCCATCAAATTAAAGTCTAGAATAATTTATTAATTAAATATAAATTATTCTATTAATCGAATATAGTCTGTATATTTTAATCTATTAATTGAATATTTTATGTAAACAATTATATGCATGCGTTGAATTATTATTCTGGCAAATTAAATTCTAGATCAAAAATGACAATTTTTAAATAGCCAGTATATTATTATGGTGTCTGAAGCCCTGATTCCCATGATCTCATTTTTCGCTACAGACTGTTACTAGATTCTGATTTTCTTGTAATTAGTCAAATTAATTATATGATAACAAACTTTATTACATACAAGCACACATCTAAGTTATACACTCATTAGTTATATTGACACTAGTAATGTAAACCAAACTCGACAGATCTAGGATGTAGGTGAGATTTTCCAGATCATGTGTGATCTGACTCTCCGACCCTATTCCGGATTTACATTTTTATTTGTTTCAAATTTTGATTGTCATTACTGCATTATTTATTTATATTTTTTTGTTTATAAGCTTGTTTTAGTAATAATCATATACATACGTTATCTTTTTTTTTTTAATTTGTGCATCGTAATTTTTTTTAAAATTTTATCTATTTATGTCTTTAATCTCTTTTCACTTTTGTAGCTTTCGATCTTTCGCTACCACTTCTTTACTTCCGATCCTATATTTAACTACCACTTCTTTTCTTCTAGTCTTGTAGTTTAGTTCTTTTGTTTTTTGGTCTCGCGGCATGTAGTTAAATTGTATTTAACTACCACTTCTTTTCTTCGGTCCTGTAGTTTAGCTCTTTCGTCTTTCGGTCTTGGGTATGTAGTTAATTTATTACTTCTTTTCTTCAGGTCCTGTAGTTGAGTTCTTTCGTTTTTTGGTCTCACGGCATGTAGTTAAATTGTATTTAACTACCACTTCTTTTCTTTGGTCCTGTAGTTTAGCTCTTTCATCTTTTGGTCTTGGGTATGTAGTTAATCTACTACTTCTTTTCTTCCGGTACTGTAGTTGAGTTCTTTCGGTCTTGTGGTACGTAGTTAAATTGGATTTAACTACCACTTCTTTTCTTCAGTTCTGTAGTTCTTTCGGTCTTGGGTATATAGTTAAATTGGATTTAACTACCACTTCTTTTCTTCGGTCTTGTAGTTGAGTTTTTTCGATCTTGTAGTATGTAGTTAAATTGGCACTTCTTTTCTTCGGTCCTGTAGTTAGTTTTTTCGGTCTTGGGTATGTAGTTAAATTGGATTTAACTACCACTTCTTTTCTTCGGCCC